ACTGTGTATAACAGCACTTGAGCATCCATCAATTTTGGTATTCATGGGGGATTCTGAAACCAAATCCCAGTAGATATCAAGGGCCCACTGTTTTGAGTTCCTAGTTGGGGAACTTGGAGTGGAAAGGTGTAGTTTAAGTTGGGTTCAAACCCATGTGTTTGTAGTGTTCTTTTACTCAGCTGGCTCTTCATGCTGTTTGGTGCATATCTGTCTTGGTGCATAGTTGTAAGACATCTGTCCTTTATCCATGGATCTTTGGAAAGCCATATCACAAAGAAAATCTTAATAGTGAGAGAAATTGAAAGACTTCCATTCAAAAGTTCATGTAGCAAACATTGGTTAAAAGAATCACTTGGAGAATTGTATATAGAATAACACCTTGTCCTAACTCTACATTATGGTGGAGTTTTATCAGTTTCCTGCATGTAACTGTAAAATGAAGGCGATATTGCAGTTCTGTTTGCTGTTTTAGGTGATACAGTATATCAGAGGTTTTTTATATATATAATTAAAAATATTGAGTGTGATCATATTGGCTCTGAGTTTGTTTACAATTGCACATTGTTTAAGCCATTTTCCAATGGCCTTGACTGTTGTCAGGAGAGTTCAAGAGTGTCAGGCAGAGAATGTTGCATGGGCAGTCACAGAGCTGCATTTTTCTGCACTCTTGCACTTGAAGAAAAAAGTTGCTGTTTAAAAGAAACCTTTGTGTAAAAGAGGAGGAATAAAAACAAGGCATATAGCTCCAAGGTTTATATCTCCCATATTGCAGGAAGAGAGAGATGTACAGTCGCTCCTCTGTTTTTGTGGGGGATCTGTTCCGGACCACCACCACTACCCCCCGCAAAAATGGAAAACCACAAATATTCAAACCCCACAGGCTTGAATGGGGGTGCGCGCCCCATTTTGTCCCCCTCTGTTTGCCACCCACAAACGTGCGAGGGATGCAGACATCCCAATCTGCGAAAATGGAGGGGCAGCTGTATTGTAATTTGTATAAAAAATGAAACTTTTCAAGCTGGTAATGGGATTTATAAAACTTTCATTGCTTTCTCAGGGCCTAGGTAAAACTTGCAAAATCATGGCATTTCTTGATAGGTTCATTTTAAAAGTCTCCATAAATCATAAAAGATTTGAATGCAGACAACAAGAAAGAGTTTTGATATTTACATTAGAGCTGAGTGAGAATTTTGTTTCAGTTCTGGAACAAAATTTACCAATATTCAAAGGTGAGAAAAAGCAAAATTAATGATTTGACTATCCTTAGTTGGTGCTACCATCTTAACACAAACTTCGGTGTGCTTTTCTTCTAAATCCCCTGGGGAGACATTGACAAGTCTGTTGCTTAAGATGCTCTGCTTGCATTCTTTATTTTTTTACCACACTAGAAGCTCTTTCCTCACTATCCCAGTATTTTGGGGTTATCCCTAAGAGCTACCTTTTAAATGTGGTTTGTGAGGCATCTTCAAATTCTACATCAGCCTTTCTGAGTAGTGAGGCATCTTCCAGGTGAGTAGGAATGTCCATCCTCCCCAGCCAGTTCAGTCTTCACTGTGGATGAAAGATATGGTGGTCCAGAACATATGGAAGGTATCAGATTGGGGAACAGGGATCTCTATGCACATGGCCACAGTGAAACTGGCAACTTAACGATACATGTGAAGAAGTGTTTG